ATATTGCATGACAGCATAAGATCAGCCCCATTAGGACGTTGGGTTTAAGTATGAGTCCTTTGGTTAATTAAAGCAGGTTTTGGTGTCTGTTCAGAAATTTTATGCATTGTCATCATTGCTTTTGGATGTTGGTGAAGTGTTCATTGATGCTTTGTCACTTTATAAAATGCAGAAGGTTTGCAGATGTAATGTTGAGTGTAAGGCTGCAAATTTATGCTGTCGGTATAGTGCGGTTAAAGTGATTCCTAATTAAAGCAATGTGCGGAGTTATTTTTACGTTTTTGTAAATGTTCACTTAGTTGAGTTATGGAACATCTTTTACTCCGTTGTTGAAAGACGGGCTTTTTCGGCCTCATCCTCCAGTTGATCTTTCATAATAGAATTGCGTTCTTAAGTACAGAGATGGAGAAGAAGGTTATTCGATAAATTTGCATAACCGTTGATAGTTGTACATAAGTATTGCTTTATCGCTTTGGTGAACCATTCCTTATTATGTGCCAGTCGGACTGTGTATAATCATCGCAGTGAAATAAAGGTTATAATTTTGTTGTTTGTCTTACAACTGGCGTAGTGTTTTGTCGTTGAGACTTCTTGAATTCCTTTCTTACACATTTAGTACAGTTGAATGTGGGCCTTCTGAATGAATTAGTTTCACGTTTAGTAAATGTGGTGAGGAAATTGTAGTCGACGGTAGCAGGCTGCTGTTTGGAACTTTTCAACATTCTAAATGTTTTGTTAAGTGGGGTTACTTTTTTGAGGTGGAGTTGGGTTGGTTTCGACTTGCGAGTACACGGTTCTTTCATAATGTGAGAAGTTCATGTAGTAATAGGTGGTGGTCGGTCTTATCCTGTCTGCTTTTTATGGTTTCAAAAACTTGGGATACGGTTTTGTCGTGGTGGCTTTCGCATGTTGGCTGATTTAGGGAGTGGTGGATTCTGGGGGAAAAAGAAAAAAGTTAGGAGTGGATGGTTAGTAAACAACGGAATTTTGGACACCTGCTGAACTTCATTATGAAGTGTTAGAAGGAGGCTGTGCATTAGCGCATGGGCATA